GCTTCGGCTGTCCTTGAATCACCTGTCTCCTCCTTCGGCTTCGGCTCTGACAAGACGGCCCCCGTCTTGGCTTCGTCTATTTGAGACCCCTATGTGGCCAGCTGAGGTTGAGATTATCTCCCGGTGCCAGCATCAGGCACATGGCGTGGGAGCCTTTAAGTCTATTCAGACCTGGTTCTATTGTTTGCTGTGCAAGTTTTGCTGAGTGAAAGACAAGTGAATCTCATTCAACCCCTTCCAACATGTATGCAAACACTCTACCCAGGGAATCACCTGCTAAGCTTAGGTTGGCTTCACCATAGCCGCAGCCGAAGGGGGTGGATTGCAGAGGACAGAAACGAGACCTGTGGGACTGTGGGATGACACATTTTTGGGTCATGTTGTTCTTTTGATTTCTTCTACTTGCCGGACCAGTTTTGTCAGTATTTTCTTCTAATTCTAAACTTCTTCTACCTACCGGAACTTGTGACCATACCCCAAATGGTACGCAGGATACACTGTTTCACCGCCAACAAAGAGTTGTCGGTGGATGAATGGCATGGTGCCTTGATCAAGGCCAGAGAGCACAACTGTTTGCAGATCAGCAGTATTCAGCGGCCACCGCAAGAAGCAGTAAAGCCAACTTGCTTGTTTGCTATATTTTTGCACTTCTTGCAGCCATATGGTCTATGCCAGTGGCCTGTATATATATAATGTACACATATAACCATTGGAATTGTTTCCCAGCTTCACAAAAAGCTTCGCACACTTTGTGATCATGCAGCGGGATGTCCTTGCCTGAATGTCCTTATGGTCCATTTGACCGCTTGACTGTGTTGGGCAAGAATCACCGGTAGCTTGCATGAATCGTCATACATTCTGTGTCTTGCTTAGCTTGCCTCTTCCGTATGCTGCAATACGCACTTCCTCACTTTGAACGAACGCCGCCCAACCCGCCATACCGATCTCCGCCGCAAATCAGGCACTGGGAGCCAATGGTTCTCGAGTCCTGCAGTGGACTCAGGAAAGCACTGTGACTTCAGAGATTCAGAATTGAATTGCAGTGTTTTTCCTTTTTTTCACCGCGGGGGTAGGCCGAGTAGAGGTGAGGTTAGCTAGGTAGGTAGCTAGTAGCGAGGGAGTCGCTAGTAGTTAACAAGTAGCTACTAGTATGGACGCAGGATAGCTCATGCTTCTCCAAGGAAGCTCCACTAATTAATGATTTTGTCCCTAGATTTTTGGGAAAAATTATGTAACTATATAGACTATATATATAATGTTTAACTACATAACTTATATATATAACTATATTTAATGCCAAATCATGTTAAACAAGTGACACATTTAGCAGTGAGGATGGGTCGGATGTCACCAGCCATTGCTCCAGATCCGCCTGAGAGCAAGGCCGAAGCGAGACGAGCGAACTTCGACCCCATGTTTTTTTTGTTTTTCGCATCATTTTGCCTGTTTCGAGGACAGCAGCAAGGCCAAGGAAGCTGCCAAGGAGGAGGCGAGGAGGGACACCTTGAACAGGCTTTTTCAAGTCAAGAGCTGTCACCCAAACTCGTTCAAGCCACTTCCGTGGTTCTCATCCAAAGTCTAGGTGAAATGACCAGGTGTTATTTTTTTTGTCATCTATAGCATGAATTAGGGGATGGGTCAAAACCTGTACGTCATAGCCCTGTTTCCACCATGTAGCTTGATCTCCGTAGGTCTACCGGTCGGTCTCCTGGTGCCACCCACAGCGTTGCCAGGACGATTGGCTGGATTCCTTGATGGGTCGATGCATGGTGAGCAGTAAGGACGACGCCATGCTGCGATTCCATCATATTCCATATGATTCCATGGGGCCATCTTGGTGGACTGCAGATTGTAGCTTTCAAGTTCAGCAATTCTAGAACTTGACCCACCACTGATTGTGATGTGCAATCTGGCAGTAGCAACAGTCACGCAGGATTTGTGTTTGGTCACACATGGGCAGGAGGGGCCTCCTACGACGGCAGCTCCAGGCATTGAGACTACGGTTTTGGCTCCTGTCGTGTCACAGAAAATTAGACTTGACTACACTCCCTGGAACTAATATGCAACTCGACAAAGGTCACTTGGAAGACCATTTTCAGAATGCCAAACAGGAGGTTTTCCACTTCCATGTTAGTTCCATGTTAGTTCCGCTTAATCAAAGACACAGGTCCACCAGATGGAGGACCGACGGATGAGCGAGTCTGCCAGATCTAATCTTACAGAGGGAGCAACAGATATTGTCGCGCCAAGATCTAGTGAATCTTGGCGCACGCACCAGACCCAACACGACTTGGCGACGTTAGTTGGCAACGTTTCGACACGTTTCGAGATGTTTTCGACCTACAAGACCCCAAACACGGATGTTTTCCTCACCCATTTTTTTTTCTTTTAAAGACCTGGTGGATCTGGGCTCGACGTGGGATTTGTCGTGACGAGGTCAGGCGTTCGCCCCGCTGCACCGACACCGATCCAGGTTCATCTGGCTATGCTGAGGTGACTGAGCAGGCGATCGGAAGTGGCGCCCGAATCGGCGTAGGGAAAGCGTTTGATGTTCCTGTCATTTTTTGTTCTCTCACCCATGCCTGAATTGACCCAAGACATCCCAAGACTCATTACAACCAGATACAAACACACTCAAATGTGATATGAGATTAAAGTGTACAAGATATTCGATCACAGAAAATTGCAGCCGCGTGGTCCTGAAGGCTAAGTGCATGGATGTTCGTGCTTCGGAACTTTTGACACGTCAGCATTGTAGGCTTGTGAAAATCGCACGTTCGCTTGGGAGAACTGGCCTAACTCTACTCTCGCCAAAGTTTTCGTAGCCGTTCAGATCATCAATTTTTTAACATGCCATGCGCCACGTGGCATCCATCCTTCAGTGCCGTTTGAAAAAGCCGAAGTCTTGAAGTCTTGAAGCGAACCGAAAGCGATAGGACGAGACGAAAGTCCGAGCTCCCGTGCAAGCTCCACCGTGGTTGAGAACGACCAGACCGAAGTGAGACGTGCAGCTCGGTCTAAAGGTGAGAGAGGTGGAATCTGGTGGCCCCAAAGACAGCAGCATAGCTGAATCATCCAAAACCAACCCAATGTGCCAATGGTTTTTTCCATTCTGGTTGTTTTCCCATTTCTTTTGTTTTGAACTCTTTGGCAGACAACAGTCTTTGTCTTTTGTCTTTGATTTTTCGGTTCCGCCGCGTTTGTTCAGCGATGGTCCTCCCAAAAGGTGATGCACCAGCGACGTGACTTAACGTGGCTTGGCGATCGGAGCAGGCCTGGCCAGGCATTTTTTCTTTCTGAGCACCTCTCGGCAAGCCACAGGAGATGATGGTCCAGGGATGAAGCTGCCTGCAGCTCTTCAGCTCGATGTACAGCGCCAGACAGGAAACTGTGCGTGAACCATTCTGGGTTGACGTTAGAGACATTTGTATTGGAAGATCCTTCATGTTTGGATAGGGAATCCGAGGAAGAGGAAGCAAGGAAGAGTGTCTTCTTCCTACAGAGGGGATCCATGCTATGTGCACATCCCGCAAGTTTGGCTCAATTTCCGTGGACACAGTGGTTTGCGGCAGAGGTCGGCGATGTTTTGTCGCAGAAGACGGTCTGGTTTTCTTGGTGTTATCTATCTGGCAGATGGGCACTGCCGATGCAGACCTGGCTTACCTGAAAAAGGAGGCGCAAGGACCAGACATTCTGTGACACTCAACTCTATTCATGCGCTTGAACAGAACGTCTATGCTCACCTGGGCAAAGTCATCGACAGAGTGGTTGCTCGAGACTCAATGCCAGTGATAGAGAGGTCTGTGAGAAGCCACTCTTCGGAAAACACCCGGTGAAACTACTTCTGTGATCCCCAAATAGATAGCGGCACAATGTCCAATACATTCTTAGTGGGACTCGACTTTTCTATCTCTTTGGGGGTCTGTATAGTTGCAGGGCCTACGCTGGGCTCTTCCAACGACCCCGAGGCCGAAAAGCCGAAAGATGCCTGTGGCCTGGTGGAGGCGAGACGGACGCTCTGACGCCAGGAGTCCGGTCTGTCCGTTCAGTTCGGAACCCGGTCCGTTCGGTTCTCCGTTCAGTCAGGTCTTGAGTACGTTTGTGAAAGAGCAAACGCTCTCACCGCAAGCGACGAACGGCGCAACCTTGGAGAGTGAGGACGGCGGGACGAAAGCAGTTTGGGACGAACGTGGCGGTGGGACATCTGGCAAAGCCTGAATGTATCTGGATGTCCACGATTTTATTCCTCAACTTGCAAGATGATAAGATGGCTGTCGTTTTTCCTGACTGAGTCATGTATATCATACTGATTCAAACTGTATATCAATATATATAGGGAGAGGTGTCCTGATGGCAGGGCTGCTGCTTGCATGGCCGGTGGCCAATCTGGCCAATTTTGCCAGGAAATTGCGAATCGTGTGAAGTCTCTCAGACAACTGGATCAGGCCAGAAGACATGAAGACAATTTGAGAAGACGAGTTTTCGCGACAGCAACAGCCTTCCTGTGGAAACCGCAGGCTCCCACAGAGGAAGGTGCTGCAATTCAAGTTTGCGCGTGCCTCTCTCCGACCGGATGATTTCCTTCGTCACCGATTTGCTTGACATGTTCTCAATGCAACACAATATTCACTTGCGAGTTCGCACAGGTCGGTGGGTTTCTTCCCGTTGTTCTTTTGCATCCTCCAGTCCTCCATCCAGATCCAGACATGCTCTTGTGGATCACATTCAAGGATCCAGAGACCCGAGCCGACGGAGCATTTTTGTGTTGAACCGATCAACGTCCATCGGATCAACGGTCATGAGCACGGCACATCACTACTCCAAAGATACTCCAAAGATACTCCAAAGAACTATTGAACTATTTCAGCAGTATGAGCTCTTGCCTTCAATCTAAACGCTTGTTCTATCCATTTCCATCCTATTCGCTTCTATGAAAAACGAGGAGTCCCTGTCGCAGTTGCCAGTCGCATCAGTCGCATCAGTCCCTCCGCGCCGGCGCCATGGCAGCGGTCTGTGCCGAAAAGGGCGCAGGAAGTTGGGGTCCCTGAGGGACCAAGATCATGTACACCACACCACACACACCTTCTTTCGCTCACCTCTTTGTTGTGGAAAAGAAACACTAGAGCCGAATTCAGGTGCAGTGCGAATTTTTGAGCTGGTCGCACAGTTCCTGGAACAGTGCAACTTCACCACGGCTGCTCATGCCGTTCTCGTCGGGGTGTCCAAGCTGAAGCTTGCTGCATTGGCTTTGCCGCACATGCCTTCCACATTTCAAAGTATTGTAATTCGGAGCTTGAAGGGTTCCATTACTACTGGTACTACTAGAGTAGCTTGCTTCACCGGTATAAGGTTTTGGCTGTATTGTCCAGCACATACTTATGGATATGCGTACTGACTTGACAGCGGTGCCACACGGCGGCCTAGGGTACCAGTTCCTAAGAGTACCAGTAAGAACCATCGGATCCTGGGGTCTGCAAGAGGAAGTGAGGCCAAAAACTCAAGACCGAGTACGGCGATCAGGTCGAAGTGACGGCGTGTCGTGCATGTCTGCAGAAAGCCACTAGCCCTTTACGGAAACTTAAAAGTCGGCCGAACGAGCGACAGGATGACGGCGAAACGTGCATTAGCCCTTTATGAAGTACATGAAAACCTGAACACCTCCTGGAACAACATCAGGTACATGAACCACCATGAAACAAACCAAGGGACCACATCAACCAATCAACAGTTTAACTACAGCAGGTACGTTTACACCTCCCTAGTGCGCGGTCTTCGTTGGCCAGGACGTGCACCAGGCAGTCCTGGCCCCCTGCTGAAAATTAAAGACTGAGAACGGAGTCCAAAAGTAAACAATCCAAGCGGATCCCTGTGACTACAAGGGGCACACACACATGCGCATTTTGCAGCTCACAACTTAAGCAGACATGAGACATGTAGTGTATTGTAGCCTCCAAGGTTGTTTTCATACATCTCATCCGCCTATATAGTGTTTTTGGTGACTTACCACTATCCACTCCTGTTTCAAGCATGTTTGTACATTTGCTTGTTTGTTTGTACCTTGCTGTGGTAATTTAGCGTCGAGCCCCTCAGTGACAACGCCCATTCTGAACACCAGCACGACAATGGTTGTATTTGCTATATGGAAGACTTTACTGGAATGTAGCCTCTTGATAAATACCCCCCCCATATGAAGAAATTGTTCAATCCAAATGGGGGGTTACTGCAGCCTGATCCTTGATGGGAGTTGATCTGTCCTTGATGAGTCTTTTGTAAAGAATTACCTTTCTGGTGCTGTTCAAACCCTTCGCAAAAGAGATGTTTCACGGGTAACGAGCACTTACACTACCTGGTTTCAAAACATTAATATTTTAACGCCCAGGTATTAGTGCAAGGACGGTTCTGATGTGAAAGTGCGGGGCACAGCTTCTTATCCAGCAAGCATGAGGCTCAATGCAGCGAACACGTTCCAGCATTAGAGGCCAGGGGCCTGGGACGTTCGATTTTTCTCGAACCTTGCCTTCCAGCCGCGCCTCGCCATCGCAGGAAGTGCTTCGACGCTTCCGGGGTCACATTGACCATTGCGCACTGTTGCTTTCAGACTTGGAGGCCGGAGAAGCGGCCGAAACATTGGAAGCTGCATGTGTCCAAAGCCCCCGGGACGAACTTCGGCGCGTGATAAGGCCATCAAGCCGGGGAACAACAATGCGTCAGAGGCGAGTTCTTTTTCTTGCGTCGGTGTCAGGACTTTCTTTGATCCATCTTTTTCTGTGAATCAGTTCTTGTCAGTTTTGTAAAGGGGTACGTCATTTCCCGTCTCCTTGGTTTGGTGGCATCGCGTAGCTTCCCAAAACGGACAAGGCTTTCATTCAGGACCTCTTGGACAACCTTCTGCGAAAGCTGATGGCTTCGGGGCACCCTGGTAGCAGCAGAAGTGGTGTCTTTTTCAGTCATGTCTTCTTTTGCTCTAGACTCCAGAGTCTAGAGCTTCATGATGCTTGATGTCTCTTCTATAGCCGGATGTTTGGTGGAGGAACTTGCAAACGCTCCACGAGCGACCAAGGCAGTGCTTGTCTGATGAGAAACTGCTGAGTTGCATCGATGCGACCTTGAAGAGCGATGCCTTTCCCAAGCTGGATGTGGCGGTGAGCTGCCGATGTCGGGGTGGTTTCGGATGCAGCCCATGTGAGCGGTGATGTTTGCGACTTTTGGTGTCATGAGCAGGGGTTTGGGAGACGAATAAAAGGCAGTTCTTCGCTCGGTTGCAGGGGCTCCACAGGTCGTTAGCAGCAACTTGACCCATGGTTGGTCCGAGACACAAACATATGAAGAGACACAAACCCTTGGCCAGGACATCGTACTTGATCCCAAGCAAGTGGACACCAGCAGCATGCTGAATATCAGTGAGGTTGACACCTTTAGGCATCGAGTGACGAATAGCTGCTTCTGTTCAATCTATTCAACACGTAGTGACGTAGTGATGCCCGTGTCACGCAGGTTTTGGGAAAGCATTCAAAAAGAAATGCAGCCACTACCGGAGGCCTCTTATTCCGCTTGGCTTCACCAGTTAGCAAATACTAAGATGGTCAACCACTGACAAGGTGACAGCGCAGCCTGTGGTGTCCGCCGTTGAGGCGGAATGTTAATCACCACATCACTGCGCCATGTCTTGCAGTCACAGACAGGACTTCCTCTCAGAAATCTCGCAGGCAGATGCAGATGATGCAGAGGCTCAGAAGTCAGAGCCCTTACCGTCGTCCCCCAAGTGAATTTGTGAATTGTAAGAGCTCAGGATAGCTGTAAGAGCTCAGAAAGCAGAATGGCTTGAATCAGAGGTCATCACACTATCTGCCCAAGCGCAGAGATGCACCTCAAAAGGAGGCTTTGGCTGGCGTAGAATGTGTGAGAGATAGAGGTAGGATGAGGTAGGCCACCTGTCCGGAACTCAAATGCATTAAGCACAGGTGTGGGATGTTGACGATGAGTACCATGATGATGAAGATCCTGGATATCGCATCCGAGAAATCTACGAGGCATTCTTCTTTCGTTGGATGCTTCTCTGAAACAATGCACTCATCCGAACACATGGCAACACTTCCTTTCAGCCCGCAACACTGACGAGCTTAGCTTCAGACATCTTCAGACTCACTGATGGAGAGAAATTGAGATGAATTGAGCCAAACAAGAATGGTGAGCATATATATATATATATGTACGAAAATCCCATGAACATTCCAAACAAGACCAGGCCGAAGGTTCCGTCGCGGAGAAACGCCACGTTCGTCGAGGCTGAGCTGCTGGCGGAGCTCTCGCAGAAAATGCCACCCACCGAAGCACCCACCGAGGCACCGCCACACCGAAGCGGACAGACTCGTTGGGTTCATTTTTCGGGGCTAAGAGGGTTAAGAGGGGTTAGAGAAAAACAACCTGATGATGGATAAGAGAAGCCTGTGATAGCCTGTGGAGGGTTCTTGAGAAGACTGTTTTATATTTTTTTAGCTATGAATTTGTTTGGGTTGGTTTGAGATGTGTGAGAGGGGGGAGTAGAATTCACAACAAGACGTCTTAAAACACCATGTCACTCCAAGTGTCGACAGGCGGATGAGTTAACAGCGGCTGCCACTGCTGAGCAAGGTCAGGGTGAAGGCCAGGGGATTCGAATGGACTTCTCCGTTCTGATTACATCTGACAAAGACTTGCAGTCCTCTCCGATCTCTCCATTTCCAGCCACACTGTTTTCCGACTTCTCTCCCCTAGGCGAGGCTGAGAAGCCAGAGTCACCGGAGCCCTCAGGCTGAGAAGCGTTCAAGCGCTTGGCAACTGTATGAAGTCTGAAGCCTCCACATATGATCATACAACTACACTGTGTTTGTTGGATGATCTTCCACAAATGCCCCACTGTGCCCTACCTGACGGATTCCGGACTGTAGAGGAAACGCCGTTTCAACAGCCAACACTTTGTAGGAGATCAGTTGTTTGAAGTCTTGCTGATCTGAGTGAGACTGATGTGGAATGACGGTATGACATTTGTAATCCGTGGCGATGTCGGGTGAAGGTCCGTTGCCACACCACCCGGCGGTATAAGGTCTGCCAGTTGCATCCAGCATGGCCATCGACCGTACGCCGTACACCATGCGGTCCGCACGCTTTCACACCAACACACCACCCGCACGGATCTGAACCAAACTCACGTCGTTGCTGAGTTTCTGATGTTTTCTCGAGCGCTTTTGGAGGTTTTGATGTTTCCAAACAAACCACTAGCATGCTATGCTGGCAAACTGCTGGCTATCCCTGGCGGGCACGCCACAAACTGCTGTGCTGCTGGCTACCACTTGGAATGACATGACATGCCATCGATTGTCACTGAATTCACAGTTTTTGTGGAATTGATAGATTGCAGTTTTACACACCAGCTGTCATGGCATATCATAGCACCACACTATACTACATTCATGGTAATTACATGGTAAGGTACATCATATTGAATAGATGACATGTTGGCAATGTTGGCCTTTGTTGGCCATGTTGGCCTTTGTTGGCCATGTTGGCCATGTTGGCCTTGTTGGCCATGTTGGCCTTTGTTGGCCATGTTGGCATTTTTGGCCATGTTGGCCATGTTGGCCTTTGTTGGCCATGTTGGCCTTGTTGGCCATGTTGGCCTTTGTTGGCCATGTTGGCCTTTTTGGCCATGTTGGCCATGTTGGCCTTTGTTGGCCATGTTGGCCTTGTTTTGTTGTGAGGTTTCTATTGATGATGCAACCACTGGCCCGTGCCAAAAGCATCCCTGCACAGGTCAACGGTCTCCTGGCACGGATGTGCTGCCCTCGGTGGACTGAGACTATCCGGACTCGGACTCCGCAAAGAATCCTGGTGAAGTTAATAGCTTCTTGTTACTACTAGTAAGGCACTTGTTACTACTAGCGTGGCACTTGTTACTACTAGCTTCTTGTTACTCCACTTGCTGGAGATGTCTTTTCTTTACCTCAAATCATTTGACCAACGCACCGGACGATCTTGAAGCGGCAGGAAAATCGCTAGGCTCGTCGACCCTCGCCACGTTCGATCTCGCTTGACTCCCGAGTCGTGCGGCTCCACCCGTGCGGAGAGCCTCCGTGTGTTCATCCTGTCCCGTGCGGCTCTCCAGGTGAGTTTGGGTGTTGCTCCAACCGCCGGAGCCAGAGAGGTGCGAAGACGGCCCTGGAGTGAAAGGAACGACATCCATATGTTCCTAAAACAAAACAATGCGAAGAGGAAACGCACATTTACGCACGAACATGTGGAGAGATTTGCGGCAGTTGATGGGTATTTATGGGTATTTAGGAGCTGACAACACTATAAGTATTTCAAAAAGTTTCAAAAGAGTCTAGCTGTCTAGCTGGCTTTGGAATCTCTAGATAGTTTCATATCTATGCTAAACAGTAAGACAGGCCCATATAGTCGGACTTATTTGTAGCGTCATATTCAGTCGGCACAGCCGACAAGCAGGCGCCGCGCTCGGCCTCTCCGACCTTCGGTGGAGCAGTGGAGAAGCCGGAGGAGGTCGCAGCCTGGCACCCGGGTGTCGATGGAGACGGCCCACTGTAGAAGCCACCGACTTATAGAGCCACATATAGTATGCAAATACTCGGCGGATGTTGACCTCGGTACTGTGTGCAGGTAGAACTTTCTCTCAAAGTCACAGCCATGTCAACATGTTACGGCCGTGTGCGGAATCGAGATGTTCCAAGGAGCCTAGTGTAGAGGCAGCTCCAGAAGGCGAGTGGATGGGGAAGCTGCACGGCAAAGCTGGTACAAAACCGGAATCGCATCTCAGACTGAACAGGGCAGCCGACGGTGGCTCAGACTGAGCCAACGGCGGCTCAGACGACTCCAAGCATGAAGCCAAGCCCAGAGGCTCGGACTTGTTCTCAAAGAGTCACATTTCTGCTTGTTGGAACTTGTGAGGAAAAACATCAAAAACATTCGATCATTCAAAATGAGTGGCATTGCTCTCGAACTGAAAGCAAACTTGGGTGTCAATCTTCGCTCTTTTGGCTTGGAGATGATGCAGCCCATTGATGAATAGAACTGCAGACTGTCCACATACCCGGAACACACCTGGTCCCGGTGCTCCCAAAACAACCCCAAACAAGGCAACCGCTGCAACCACTGCGATGCTCAGAAGCGTCTAATGCTTTCTTCTTCAAACGAAAGAAGACGTCCTTTCTGTTTCCAGGTGTTCTGAAGTTCCTCACCCATCCTGACCCTCAAAACCCACTCTGACAGGCCTCAAGAAAACTCGAACATGCATTAAAAAAAGCCGAAGGCCCTGTGTTTTGCATTGCAATGTCATGTAGTAATTCATAGCCATGCCGGCCCCCCGTGGCACCGTCCTCACCTCAGAGGCTCCTGCGTCGTCGGCACGGCGGAACTCGCCGGTCGCTGAGGCACCGAAGGACCGTCGCCACACTCCAGGCGAGGCGTGCGATCGGTCCGAGGGTCCCGGTGACCCGGTCCAAGACACATAAGGAATGGAGTGAGAGGGAAGTCTGAAGTTTTTCTTCCCCAAAAACCTGAAAAGTGCTGAAGAGGTACAAGAGTCAAGGTCAAGGTGACCATTCTCTTGCAAGTTACAGATTGCCATCTGCTCACAGTTTCTTGGATTCTGCGAGGTTTTGGCTATGGTGAATCTGCCAAACTGGCAGCTTCACCTACCACCAGCTCAAGAAGGCAAGAAGTGAAGAACGAGACCCAAAATTCGAAGATCTTGCAGCAAAGCTCTTGCGTGGTTGAAGAGAGATTTGTGATATCCTGCAATCCCTGTTTGCAGGAATGGTAGAGCAAAGCTATCTCCAGCTGTACCAGTCGAGACAGTCGAAACGCTCGTGTCGACCGTCGAGACCGTCGACGACAGCTGGACGATTCTGTGGGAAACTCCGCGAAGGTGCGACAACAGCGGTGCGAAAACGAACGTAGGAGCTTTTGAGAAATGCCACAGTTATGACATAACATCACCTCAAGCCTATTAGAATAAGCGCAACCTTAGAATTGGTAGCGCAGAGAATATGTGTTGCTGCTTAGAGTCTCCTTTGCGGCCAGTTTGCAAAGAAATTCCAAAGTGCAGGAGGACCGGGGCATTTGCTCACTCAAAGGCTATCGGCTATCGCCATCTATCACCTACTGTAAATATCCATTGCAATCATGGAAGTGGAAATTGTTTTGTCTATTTTTGTCTTTATTTTTTTGAAGACCTTTTCCTCCACACAGCCCACAGCACGGAGTCTGATTTGCCCCGCCACAGCCCCTCGGAATACTCCGTGTACCAAGTAGGCTATGACATGCTATGACAATGCGCGAGACTTGCAACGAAGTGAGAAAAGAACGAGATTCCAAGACGTCAATCTCGACTGGAAACTCAATATGTCAGATTCCCATTTTAGGATCCAAAAGGATCCAAAAGGGAGACATGCATCTAACAGAAACAGGGACCAAGCACAGGGCACCGAAACTTAGTGAGGCTAACAGAAGAATCGGCTGTTCACCTCTATACCCAGTGAATGGCTTGTAGGTATATACTTGAAACTTGCAGAATGACGCATCTCGCCAAAAGCCTTTGAC